AATGATAAAATTTCTAATGAAAAATATTCTGAGATTACAAGAGATCTCTCTTACTAGGACTGCAGTGAACCAGAATACAAGTGGGGACAATCGAATGTATTTTAACACAAAATTACAGAGTCTGTTAGTAAAATTTGAGGATCTTACAGTACATACTTAATTTGCAAAATATCAATCAATTGTCTTAAACTTGACTGTTCTTTTGCAAATGTCAATCATTCGTCTCAGACTTCATTGTTTCTTCATTTCCATACTAATCGCTTTCGGTTCCCGTTCTTTCCTCCTCGATCTTTCCGATCTTCCGCTGCCAGACGTTCTATTCTTGACTAGCTTTATATACTACTTATGTCTATATAAGTAGCACACATCACAGTACTAATTTATAATTAACAGATATATGATCCTACATCAACCGCTAATGATAAACTCAAGCAATTACATTCTCGGGAATAAACCTGACAAGACGGTTATTTGATGTAACTTATTTCTTAGTACTGGTTTATGTACCCCGTTAAGTGGTTGGGATATTATCCAGTCATTCAAATCGAAATAAGTTAAGCGGGATTTAAATTAATAATCTATTGACTGAAAAGTCAATATCTGAGCCACTTTTGGAAGGGTTTTATAAATCCCAGTTAAAATAAGAAAATCTATGATGAGAAAAAAACCCTTTTATAATTAACGTTGTTAGAATGGACTTATATGGTACTTGAAATATTCACATCTACTTAAAATTGGGGTTAATAATGATGAAACAGACGAAGATGTAAATGTTTACATTAAATTGTCTCATTAGAAAAATGCAACATCATTAAGAGTGTTTACATCAGTTACTAATTTTCTTTAATTAATCTAATTATGTAATTAGAGGATTAGTCTATTTAACTTCAATTAATGTTTATTGTTAGTACTTAGATACCAGTTAAATGAAAGTTTTAAAATTATTTATATTTTGATAAATTAATTACTCAGTTCAACTTTCATGTCACAAATTCAAATAATTCAAAATTAGATTGATGGAAAATATGACTATTTAAACATCCGATATATAAATAAATTTATCTGTCAATTAATCTTGTTGTTTTAAGTGATTTCATTACTGACTATTCGTCATCATCATCTCATAGTCTTAAGTTTATGTAAAGATAGATCAATTCTTCTTCTTATTATTGTTTCACAAGTTGAAATCACGAGTCAGTTGAAGCTAGACCACCATTGAAAACCTGGAAGCACTGGACGGCCGTTTCGTCCTGGTATGGGACTCCTCAGCAGTGCGCATCCACGATCCCGCACCACGCGGGGCTCGAACCCAGGACCTACTAGCTTCGCGCGAGAGCACTTAACCACTAGACCACTGAGCCGGCATCCAACGGTGTTAATGTATAACTTCAACCAATCCACGAAGTTGCGCCACCGTACACCATTGTCTTCAGTGAGTTGTTATCTCACAACAGACCGGTTGAACTCCACTGGTAACGGCTTCTCACTAGGACTCCAGGAGTTTTTCCTGAAGTCAGTCACTAGTGAGCATATGTTGATTATTATCAGAATGGGTTTTGTGGAGAGTTTTAGAAATTTCATTGGTACAACGAGACACCAAATATATATGTGCCACATCTCGTCATTTGATTTGTGTGAGAACTGAGATACTGCTCGGATGCCCAAACAGAAGCAGGTGGTCTGCTTAGTCTTTTCTTACAAACATAAATTGTTAGTACATTTATTTTTATTTATTTATTTATTTATTTGAACACATAAATATTGGTACAAGAGGGCACCAAATTCATATGCGCCACATTTTGTGTGAGGGCCGTAATACTGCCCGGGTGCCCAGACCGAAGCAGGTGGTTTTCTTAGGGGGCCACACCCGGAGCCGTTTGTCCTAAAGGTCTGATCCACAAGGCAGTCGAGCAACGTTAGGAGACGCAGACACATGGTAGCCGGTGACCAACAATTGGTCCATACTCCATTTGTTCCGTCGGGATCCTAGAGCCCATCTGCACCACTGTTTTGTAATCAGGGTTTTCCAACTAACTCTCCTAGGTGTATCCTCCATATCCACCAAGTGGGTTAAAGCGCCCGACATTAGCCTTTCGTCCTCTCAATTTCGTAAACAACACTCCCACTACAAGAAGTCAATGAGTAGGACTTCCTTAGCAGTGGTTGTATGCACGTGGCTATGTGAGAGCGTTTGAATTGGGGAAGTTAACTCTCCCCACTCTCGGCCGTACCAGGGGATTTGAGGTCAATGCTGTATATTATTGATATTTATAAATAACGGAATCATATGTTGTGTATAGTGACAACTAGATAGATTGAAACTGTTTAGTTAGAGTTAATTGATACGATATTCTTATGTATGCTTATGCAAATCTATTGTCAGATATATTTAGGGAAAACATTATCATTCTGTTGATAGATGGATAAACTATACTCTATTAAGTGATTTATAGTTGAGATAGTTAAATTTTGAGATAAACAATTAAAAAAATCTCGAAGATGAAACTTTACATACGTAAATTAAGTGAAATCTATTTTTTTAATTGGAGATAAGCGATAGCAAACTTTAAACTTGGGTTCAGTAATTGTTATAAATCAAGAGTATGTGTAATCCAGAGGAATAATGATAGGTAGTAAAAATTTTGTGCTTATAATAATTGTATCAGCTAGAGACGTTTCTATACAACCACATGAAATATGCACAAGTAATATAGAGAGAAATTCAAATAAAACAGTAACATGAGTCGTGAACCTATATTTACCAATATTCATTGATGCTTCACAAAGTTGAGAAAAAGATCACAGGCAAATCTATAAAAGTTTAATTTATCAATGTACATTTTAACATTGAAGACCGGTTGCAATATTATGATTTTTATCTGTATAACGATTGACTTTGAATGATCCGGCGGCCTGCTTGAATATCTGGGCTACCTGTTCCTTCGATCTATATATTTCTTCAAGTTATCTGTTTTGTTGTTCGTTTTAGCATATCAATATGTCTATTGTGCTCACAATCTATTCGGGCGCGTTTATGAAAAGTTTACAACCTTTCGCTATACGGGATACAGAAAGGTACAATCAGCGACATCATGGTGGCTGGCAATATGCATTGAAACGAACAAACATTAATCAAATGCGGATTATCGAATTCCTAACATCTAACTGGTCATCATTCAAAATTTATCGTCACAATCGATCAAGATATAACAAAAAGAAACTTGTTGAAATACTTTATGCTGAGAATTCTATGTTGTACGAAAAGTATAATGTTGAATAAAGCTTCTTATAATAATAATAATAATAATAATCTTGGAAAGAAAAATAGGCTTTCAAATGCTAGTTTTATTTTATTAACTTGGAAATCTACATTCAAGTAAAAACATGACATCTATTAGACGATTCGTATAGGTTTTGTTCATGATATTTTGAAAAGATTTAAGAATAATTTTCAACATATGGCTTTCAGTTATGGTGCGCTTCATAGTAGGCCTGATATAACTTTTATCAAATATATGATAACTAGTTAAAAAAAAAACGGTGGTATCATCCATGAGTTATGAGCAATATTATTACAACTTTCATTTATTAGAAGAAAAGATGAATGGTGGCTAGCAGTGGAATCCAGGATGCACATTTCGTTATATTTGGGATTTGTCAGCTGGATGTACCTTCATTCCAGAATTGATGTTCACTCCGGAACTTGCACCCAGTAATAATGTTTGTGAATTATGGCAATATCGTGGCACTCCGCACAAGATGCACATATGGTAATAAGAGACTGATCAGTAGCAGTCTTAAATATTCATGGGAAAATTCAAACAAACAATACAAAATTCATTCATTAAGTTAAAAAGTGAATCAGCTTCTTGGTGACTGAACAATCCAAATAGACTAGTATAAACATAGGAAACAGTAAACGAGAATTTGATCATGTTGATCTACAAAGCTGATATGAAGTAGAGTAAGAGAGTAAACGGCTCTAATTTTTTAGTAATTTGTTTAGAATTTAGACTTAATTAACCGACTATGAGTAACTAATTCTTACAACGAAAAGGAAGATTGCTTAAATCTACAGAAGGGAAAAATGATTAAAATTTTATCATAAACTGATCGTAAATGAATAGGAAGATGTTATTTGCAAAACTGTGTCTTCGATTATCACTTACGTTTTATTGAGTTAAAACTATGCTTATACTAATTTTATGAAAGTATTTCCGGAGAAGACTTGCATATTTGTGTATTATCGTGAAGTTAATCAAGTCAACAATTCTTTCCATGCACTGAAATTCAGATATATTTAGTTGGGCTCTTTTAAGTCATGTTACTCTGTAGTATTGTTCTGACAACATGTGACTATAATCAGTAACAAATACATGTGTAATAATGTTATAATCGCTTTTCTAGCTTTATTAGCGGCTGCGCAACTAATTCCTACACTTATATAATACTTGAATTTGATTTAACCCTTATACCTAACTGGATAAATTTGGTTATGTGGATGATGATCTGTGAGAAGAACCATTTAATTTAATGCAAAGATAATTGAGAGGATATACTCTTTACCATGTCAGTTATCCTACATATTCAAAGCCTAAATCTTCAAAAAATTTATGAATTACGAATATATTATTACTACTAGCTTTTTAACTTAATAATAATTTAACGATTAAGACATTTAATAGTTGAATTCATGAGTCGCTTGAAGTTAGACCACCATGGAAAACCTAGAAGCATTGGACGGCCGTTTCATCCTAGTGTGGGACTCCTTAGCAGTGCCCATCCACGATCCCGCCCCCCACGAGATCCGAACCCAAGATTTATCAGTCTCGCGCGCAAGCGCTTAACCTCTAGACTACTGAGCCGGCATCCAACTATGTTAATGTCTAACTGTAACTAATCCATAAAGTTGCGCCACCGTCCACCACTATTATCAGTAAGTTACCATCTCACATTCCTTCATATCCACACTTCAAGTGAAATGAATGAAAACAAAATAATTGCTTAATATTATCATTTTATTTCAATATGTATATTTCTTTAAAAATTTCGCTGATACATTGTATATATATTCTTGACAAATTCATTTTGTATTTTCTTAATCATCATAATTTTCAACTTCATTTATCCGTATCTAAAATGAAAAAAAAGGAAGAAATGAATATATATATATTAGTCCTTTAAACATACTACTGTAAATAGCCAAACGAAGTTGACAAAAAAATTGTATTCAGACCTCAATAAACTTGGCCTTGTGAACATTTGTTAGTTATTATTATGCTGTAAAGTTTTTGCTAAAGTTTTGTTCTGGTTTTATAATTTTTTTCGTGTGTAGCATACTGTCGTTTGAATCAAACAGAGTTATGAAGGGGTAAATTTTTAAAATATTATAAAACATACCACCTAAAATCGTTATTCATAGGTACAATTTTCTTATATGTTTCAATTATTGAATGCTGGAGAACACAGATATGGTGTGGAGGATGCAATAAGCCGATCACTGTCCAAACGTTTCTCATAACATTATCCGACTTGGCTTTTAAAAAGAGAATGTAAAACAATTGCTAGTTCGATACAGTAGCATTTAATTAATTGTGGACACGTCGCTCTAAAAAATTTTTCTTTTGAAGTAATCTACAGAGTCAAAGCAGAAACGTTTCGTCCGACCTCTCATCCTTCCTTGGCCCTAATTTCCTTAATGAGTATGTTTCTGGGTTGTTTTCTGCATGTTTTTCTGCACTTTTATTTGATTATTATTGGATTTTTTTTAAAATTTATTATTTTGCAATTTTAAACTCATTTATTATTATTACCTTATAGAAGTTTTCTTGATTATTATTCAGTTTAGATCATTCTGATCTTTATGTTTGTCGTTATTTCTTCATATCCGTCAATTAGATTATTAGCTGACCCATAAACTGTTTTCTTCGTAACCTCTTGATTAGTGAGTAACCTCATTTGTTATTTAGTCTTGAATCCGTTCTTGTGATGTAATCTTTTATTTCTTCCTATAGACATATATTTTCCAGATAACTATATATACGAATATACAGCTTAAATAAATGATTTTGTCGAAAAGAGAAAAATTGTCTTCGCTGAATCCTCTTTTTCTTACTCAATGACACTATGGGTTCTTTTAATTATCTGAATTATTATTATTATTATTATTATTATTATTATCTAACTTCTCGATTGTTAAATATGACTACTTTTTTATGTTGCTCATAAAAAGCGGAATTTATTGCTGATCAAAGTTTATTCAAAACATTTACATAATATCAACAGTTGAGATCATGAGTCGTTTGAAGCTAGACCACCATGGAAAACCTGGAAGCACTGGACGGCCGTTGTTGTGGGACTCTCCCTCGTGGATGCGCACTGCTGAGGAGTCCCACAACAGGATGAAACGGCCATCCAGTGCTTCCAGGTTTTCCATGGTGGTCTAGCTTCAACTGACTCATGATCTCAACTGTTGAGATTACCACAATCTCCACAAAACCCCTTCTGATACTAATTTACATAATATTTTAAAGTAACTACGGAGAAAGCAACTTGTATTTTTATACATTTTAACGGGTAAAGCTTGTAGGACATTTAAAAATATTTGAAATCACTGTAACTACAGAAAATCAAAATGCATCAGTTGACCGTTTAGATAGTCCGGTACGTTTGAAGTTTGCGTTAAGATAACACGGTATCTAATTTATATTGTTTAAATATCGTTGAATCCTAGTTTATAACTCATAAATAGCTTTAAAATTTATACGTAAAGCGATATGGGTCGATTGTCAAAAAAATGAGCCCGGAAAAGCCCTAATACTTCAGATAATAACAATTCCGTTATTACCTATTCCCCGTGTTCTGCTACTCCTTTTGAAGCTGATAATGTTGGGATAGGTCTTACACCACATCTGATGCTGGATGACTCTGTCTCTAATTTAACAATGAGTTTCACCTCAAGATCAAAAAGTATCGATAATATTAAGAGTGAATTAAACACTATCTTTAAACAACTAAACGACATGCGTTCTAAAGTTGAGTCACTTGCTAGCTCTTTATCAAAGTATGATGATCTGAAACAAGAAATAAAGACATTATCACCCCTTAAGCTGCTCCTGTCAAAAGATATCGTTCCTGCGGAACTTGGTGACATCATAAAAGCAGAATCTGTTATCGACTTTATCGCTAATGAAGTTACCAAGCGAATAGTCTCTCGTAATAACGTGATTGTCTATAAGATACCTGACAGAATCCCCATTAAAACTGTAAGGAATTCGATATTAAAAGCATCTAACCTTTAAGACAGTCCATGCCAATGCATTCGACTTAATAAAAAGCACCAGAAATACTCGTGCCCGGTCTTGTTCAGATTCGACTCTCATATATTGGCTGAACAGTTAAAAGAATCCGAGCGGCTAATCTGCGCGCTTACGAAATTTAGAAACGCTCGTATAGTCTCAGATAAGGCCACCAATCAAAGGCTTACACAAAAAGTACCTTGAACGAAAATAAAGGTGTTGAGATCACAACAAACCACGATGCATCAGCTGCTGGATCCACTGATGCAGCTACCCTATCTCATGTTCTCCAGTACTCTGATATACCAACAAAGAGTGCTAATTTGCCTGTTATGTCTTTAGTGACATCTGGTAGCCAATGTACATCTGATGACGTCACTAATCCGATATTACTCAGTTTACCATTAGAAGCCCATAAGCAAGTACTTAGTTCTAATGCTACAACTCTTAAAAACGCTGTCAAGATTAAAATACCTATGCCACGTAAGAAGAATGTAAGTACAGAACCTTCTGGTTCTAGATCCAATATCAAAAATATTACGATGACCCTACCAAATAAAAATAGGACTGTACTTCCCGACACCATGCTTTACCTTACGCATCGTAGGGGAGGTTATAAGGGCAGACTTGATTCAAATGGCCACTGCAATCATTACGTAAGCAGGCCTAATATTGGACAGACCACAATGAACCAACGCACCCTACGGTTATCCTCAAACGTTTTAGATAACATACCTGTAAGATGTAACTTCCCTCAACACTTTCCCATTGGGCACGATGGATTACTAGGTTACTCACCATCAACCCAACCCCGACTGGCAGGTGCCTGTCTTAACTGTCCGCCTAGTCGAGTTCAACAAATTAATCCACTTTATCAAAATAATGATTTTTTTGGTCTTCAGCCTTGAAAACATTAGCTTTTCTAGCCAAACCTTCTTTCATACTTATCACTGAAACATGGTGCTCTCAAGCAGTATCTAATTCAGAATTAAATATCCAGAACTATCGACTCTATCGCTGCGACAGAGAAACTAAGCGAGGAGGTGGTTGTATTATATATGCTTTGGATACCCTAACAACTAATAAAGTTGAAGATAGTGTCCTGAATAGTTTACCAGAATCAGTCTGGATATCAGTCAACACCCTGAATCATAGTCTACTCCTTGGATGTATATACAGAGCTCCTGATAGTTCGAATAAAGGGAATGATCTTATTATCAATGCATTCATACATGCATCTTCTCTAAACTTTAATGCTAAGGTTATCACTGGGGATTTCAATTATCCTGGGATCAACTGGAGTACCGGTAGTTGTCAGTCATGTAATGATGAGTTCTCGGCAACCATTAACATGCACTGCTGGTCACAGTGGGTTCGTGCCCCAACTAGAGGCGATAGTATACTCGATCTAATATTTAGTAGAGATGTTATCCCACTATCTGTAAAAGTATATGATGAATTTGAAAGCAGTGACCATAAGATAGTAGTTTGCGCTCTCCCTATCTATCTCTCTTATAACCCACCCATTCAAAAAACCTGTCAATATAGAGACTATAAGCATGCTGACTGGGACCTCCTGCATTCATTGATTAAACTTTCAGACTGGGATAACTTTTTTTCATGTAATAGTCTCATGGATGCTATCGACGAATTCTATCTGATCATTAACTCTTGTTTAGATTCCAGTGTACCTCTTAAAACGTACAGGTTTAGTAAACCTTACGAATTATATATACCAGCTAAATATCGTAATAAACTAAAACGCCTACAGAATCGTTATTTTAAGTCAAACGACTTCACAGCAGTTGCACAAATAACAATAATTTTTAATCAAATTAAAGAGAAACATAGGTTAAAAGCCATTAATGAGGAGCTGTTAGCCCTTAATACTAACTCGAAAGTACAAAACTTAACTCTCCTTTTCAATAAACGCACTAAAGCAACTCGAAATGTTGATATACCGTGCATCCAGCATAATAGCACTTTTATATACGACTCTAAAACCATGGCCGACCTTTTCAGTAGTATATTCGCGAATGGTGTAGAAAACATAAGTGGCTATGCTTCAAGAGTTATGTGCGTGACTAGCAACTCAATAAAATCTATCTCCTTCACATGCATGAAAATTAATAAGGCTATAAATACCCTTAAGCTTTCGAAAGGTCATGGAGTAGACGGGATTTCATCATTTCTCTACAAATATGGTGGTCCAGATATTCCACTTCTTCTTCTAAAGCTGTTTACTCTCTCTATGGAAACCGGTTCTTACCCTTACTGTTGGAAAACCGCGTACATCATACCACGTTACAAATCTGGAGATAAGACTGACATGAACAATTACCGGCCAATAAATATTACTCCAGTTATTTCTAGGATTATGGAAAAAATTATAAGTGATGAACTTTCCAACTATTTACTTGCTGGAAAATTTATCAATGATACTCAACATGGATTTCTTAAAAATCGTTCTTGCATGACATGTCATTTTGACTTCTTTAATTTAGTCTATTCTCTACGTAGCCAAGGATATCTAGTCTTAGTGCTATATCTGGACATTTCTAAAGCCTTTGACATGGTTAGCCACCAACTTCTTATAGGTAAGCTCGCATCTTATGGGGTTCAAAATCCTTTGCTTGCTTGGCTTGATTCCTTTCTCAGCAATCGACATCAAATAGTTAAAATTAACTCTTCATTGTCTAACGCTGTCCCTGTTAGAAGTGGTGTAATACAAGGTAGTGTCTTAGGTCCTTTGCTCTTTTTAGTGTTTATCAATGATATTTGTGAAAGTTTTTGTGTCGGTAAGCCCCTTCTATATGCAGATGATCTTAAAGTAGTA